ACACACACACACACACACACACACACACACACACACACACACACACACACACACACACACACACACACACACCTTCATGTTGGTGTTTATAGTGTAATTTCTTTCTTTCTTTTTTGAAACTTTTAGTGATCATGTCCATGTGCTTGTAAAACAGTGATGTTGATAGACACACACAGAAACACACACACAGAGAGAAAGACACACAAATGAACACACACAGCTGCCAGCCTGTGTATTACCACCTCGTCCAGTGGAGAACTTTTCATGTCACGTTTTTTTTTTTTTTTAAAAAGGCCGCCTCACTTCGCCAGCACATCACTTCTTAAGGAAACACAGGTGGTGAAATTTCTCAGATGCCTTCTCTGAAAAATGCGAGCGGCGAGTTTTGCCAGTTGAGGAACAATAACAGTCATTAGTGTGAGGTGAGAGAACGGTCAGTGCGAGGCTTGCTCGGTTTCAGAGCAGAGAGAAACAGCAGCTCAGAGGTTTGACTCAGCTTCTTCTTCTACATGGGGTGGGGGGGGTGATGTGGGTGAGAACACAGGCGGCAGGGTGGTGGACACGTTCTGGAGCTTGTCCAGGTTAACAGGACAGATCTCCACAGAAGTGTCTCCCAGACGGTGAGACGGTGACGTGTCTCAATTCAGGGGCGGCGACCTTCGGAGGCCGCGTTTGAAGACTGATTGTGTCACTGCGGCGCGACAAGACTGTCCCTCCAAATGAGTCCCTCCACCCCCCGAGCAACTGAGGCTCCATCAGGTGGATCCTTCCTGCCCCAACAACTCCCATGATTCATTGCACTTCTGTGACAAACGGTTTTTTCAGGGAGGTGATGGCTGTAAGGGGCGGACAAGCTGCTTAATGCCCGAGACCGTCTCGTTTTGGTTCCGCCGCCGCCGCCGTCGTCTACGCAACCGATGAAGGATGCAGCCGACGTTGGCTGCGTTGACCGGGTCGACCCCCGAACTGAGACAGACGGTAGCTGTGGATGTTAGAGAGTGAAAACCACGGTGCTGTAAGGTTCTGTTCATCCTGAGCTCAGCCGGAGAGCGTTAGAAACTTGTGTTCCACATTCCAGAGAGGTTCTGCCAAAATGAGATGAGTCTGAGATTTAAGTATAGACATAGTGTGCGAAGCGTCGTCTGCTTTTTAGCAGCAGAGGACGAAGATGACACAGCGTGTTGATCTGCGGAGCATCCGTGGTCAGAGTGTGTTAGAGACATTAAAGAGATGTTGCACACGTCTCACACACACAGACACTGGCACGTGATGCTTTATTCACATGAGGGCGTCGCGGCACATGCTTCGTTCACCTTTTAGCAACATGCAGGAAAACCTGGCGTTTCATTAAAAACCGCAGCGACGCAAAGGCCAAACGAAACACACACAAACCCACCGACGCACACTCGCATGTGCAGCCGCGGAGGTAGCAGCTGACAACGCTCGGACGTCTGTGAAATCTCTGTGGTCGGACCGTCCGTTATTAAGCTGCAGCTGAAGCCGGTGGAGGGCCAGGGTGGAGACAGTAACACTAACCACAGCACCAGAGGAGCCCCAGTCAAGGCTGAGCCGGATATTTTACCCTCAGAGAGAAGAGGGGGGAAAAAAAAAAGTTCCTTCATTCCTGAAAACGGTATTTCAGAGGACGACGCCTGGCGTACGTTGCCATGAACTTCAAAATTACAGATGATTCTCCTCACAGGTGTTAGTGTTTTCAGACTTTTAAAGCATCTTCTTTCCCTTTTTGTTTTCCCCCCTGAAACGTTATTCTCTGAACGCAGCCATGTTTCCTGTTGACACCATAATGATGCTCCACGCAGCTGAACCTCCTTCCTGTCACCACATCAGTGGAAACTGTCGTGGACCTAGATTATGCTTAAAGAACGGAATTGGCTTGATTTGTTTTGTTCGGGTGCTTTTTCTCTCTCGTCTGTTTAATGCATCGTCCTTTATTTACAGTCGATGGTAGAGCCTGACCAATAGAGATATAGATACCACTATAAGTGCGTAAAAATGTTTTGATACCAATATATATTTTAAAAACAGTAAATAATTCCTAAAAAACCTTATGACGAACACATTTAACTGAGGTTTGATATTTTAAAGTTTAACTACAAACTTAAATTAAAGGAAAACACAACAAACGAATAGTTATATAATAAATTGTTTCTTGACTTGAATTATGAAAATCCACATATATTTGTTTTAATTAACTGAGTGCATATATATATATATATATATATATATATATATATATATATATATATATATATATACATACAAGTGTTCGGTGTGTAATGACTGTACACATATACAAGATAAATTATTATAATATCAGCCAAAGCATTTCTCTGATTTTTTTATTCTACAATAAAATAATTTTCATATTGGGGAAACATAACCGGTTTGTATTTTTAGTTATTTTATAAATTCTTGTGTAAATGATGAAGCGGAGTCAGTTGTTGACTTTATGAGCACAGTTGTGCGACTGTAACACTTACCATCGTCGGAGCTGGTAACTGAAGTGTAATGGTCTTGTTTTAAATCTATAAGAAAGAAACAAATCTATGAGACAGATTTATTCACCCCGAAGTATCAGATTTACACAATTTTCACATCCAACCTGGGGTCAGGAAACTTTCGGTACCTAAAAATGAGTCATGGCCCCGAAACCCAGAGTCGTCCCGGTGAGCGTTGAGGTGCGGCGGATGATCTACGAGGTGCACATGGATGATTCTGGTGTCTGTGTTCTTATATCCTAACAAGTAAAATGACTAATGTGCCAGTTTCCCCCAAAACCTCAGCTCGTCCCTTTGAAGCGCTCCTTGAAAAACGCCGCCGTTATGATGTTTTATATTGTGAAGGAGAAGGTTTTGTCGAGAGGTCAAGGTCAGGATTAGGTGAGAGGTAGAGGTAATCCTGATACACATCAAACACACACACACACATTCTCTACTTTCCTCAAACACAGGGGTTATGATGAGGTAATGATGACACTGCCAGCACACACACACACACACACACACACGCAGTTGAGTCGAGGCTAGTGTTGAAGTTAAAGTGAAAGAAGATTTGGTTTTGAGTCCAGAGACTCGTAAATACAGACCTGGAGCACAGCAGGGGAGCATGAGCACACACACATTCACACACACACGTTCACACACACACGTTCACACACACGTTCACACACACACA